GGAATTGTAAGTTTGTACACTATTATGATTGTATTTTATACTTTCCTAATCCCAAAATTCCCCAAGACTACACTATAAAAAATATAAACTAAGACAAACAATATTTAATGTATTCTCAATTTGACAACAGACGTCAAGAACAAAAGTTTGACAATAAATAGTATGCATGCGTGTGTGCGTCGACTACATGGTATGTAGTGTGTGTAATGTTTTCTTTATTGATTTAATGTATCTCTTATGCATTATTTAAAAAAAATATTAGCATTGTGCACTTCTTCTCTATATTCTCTAATATAATTCTCCGTCCGCGCAATTTTCGTAAAAAGGGATACAAAGTTTTTGCTTCACGTATTAATATATAGATAATACTGGTATCAAACTTACATTTTTCGTTATAGAGACGACACGTGCCGATATCGATAGCGTTTAGCGAATTCCGTATATCATTAGCGTTGCTATGACAGCCAGTAAAAACATTGATGACGCATTCCTTCCCACAGTTCCGTCATTACAGCATAAGCAATAATAATTTCTCTATAGGTATGCGTGGGCCACGTCCGGAACTCCGATCTCAATGCCGAAGAGGGGCGACACACTTGCTCAGCTCACCTCGGCATTTGTATGCGGAGGCCGCGATCACAACGTGTAGCAGGTTTAGAAGTAAGAGCGGTTTGAATACGAGTATACCTACCTACTGATGTCAGAATTACGAGTTTTACGGTAAATTTATTTATTGTATACTACGAAAATTCGAAAGGCTACATACAACATTGGGTAATGTAATATTACAACATGACCCAAATGCCTTTAAACATCTGATACATTATTATGTACATCAAAGAAAGTCATTAAAAAAACATGTACGTATTTCGATTTATTGGATTATTAAGGCTTAAAATGTGATTAAATTAATATGCTTAGATTTAGGTTGAAGCTCGTAACTTAACCCACACTCAGTTATCGGATAACCGAAAACACGCTGTTGGTTATTGCACGAGAACGCGTTGTACGCGCCGTGCCAATTTACACCGATACCATTAAATTCAATCATGTATCACTATGTATCTCTATCGAAAACCACAGACCAATAAATAATATTTAATAATAAAACGTAAATTTGATTTTTATTTACACTGCCTTAATTCTGGAGAGACGCTCGTCAAATATGAAAAGGTATTAATAATCAGAAACATTTCTAAAACATATAACATATAGCATAAAGTCAGAAGGCTAAATTATGCAAAATTAAATAGAGCAGACGAGAATATAAGATTGCCTTCAACTAACTCGTTGTTAAAAAAAAAATGCACCAATCGTAAGATAAGATACGGGTTTTTGGGGTCGGACAAACTCGTGTCGTGTATTTGCATTAATATGTAATAATATTCTTACCTGATATCGCCTGTTCGTATTTAAGAAAAAAAAATTTTTTTTCTACTTCAATTCTTTACTACTTTTCGTATAATGGGTGTCGCTCCAAAATGGGTATTAGAGACGGTAGAGGTACTATCATAATACATAATCGATTCCATGAAAATAATGAATCTAAGTAAATAGTTTCGTAATAAAGATTACATGAACATACTTAACGAAAAAACGATTATTCTGTCAACCCTTGAATTATGCTTTACGCAAGGTACCGTAATACGATTCGTAGTAATAAATAAGGCTGGCCACATATCATAAGATGAGATTATTCGTTTTCATTTTTGCTAAGATCGTAGACGAGCTCCCGGTCCACCTGGTGTTAAGTGGTTACAGGAACCCATGGACATTAACAACGTAAATACCGCCATCTACCTTGAGACATGAATTATGGAGTCTCAGTTTTTATAGAGTGGCTGCCCCACCCTTCAAACCGATGCGCATTACTGCTTCACAGCAAAAATAGGCGGGGCGTGGTACCTACCCATGCGGTCTTACAAGATGCTCTAGCATCCGTCAGTACCACCTGGATATAAACTGGTCGTACGAATTAAGTGCGCATACTAAATACGTTTATATCGAGCAAATAGACACCGTCTTTATGATACCGCTTTCCCTTAAGCCCTTTCTGGTACGTGATCAACAATCTTACCTAAGTGATAACTTGAATCACTTTTATCTCACAAAGATTTATGTACGTAAACTAAGTTCAGCGCACGAAAGATTACAAAATGGCGGTAAAGATCTAATTTTAAAAATATTGAAACAACACCATCCGATTGCTTTCGGAAGTCAAAGGTTATAAGAAAATGTAGTAAACGTGATAGTATGGTCGGTCAAGTCAAGCAGGTTTTTTTGAACTCAAAAAGTTCACGTGATGTCAGCTGATTGAAATACATAAACATATTATACACTCCGCGGGCGCCGCAAGTCCGCTCCGACTGTGTCAGCACATCAAACAACTTCTGTCTTTGCAATAAAGGTGAAATTTAGTAACATGCGTAATTTGATTGAAATTTTTGAGCTGTATGGACTTAGTGATAGAGTTGCCACATTGTTGTATTCATTGTTTGAAATTAGTTGAACGAATATGTTATTGTCTATCTCGTTTTGACGATTGAACGGCCTAGGGGTACTTTTGTTGTATAAATTCATGACTGTCATCGAAGAGTTGAGTATTTAAAATAATTATTAAACTAGTTTTTATGAAACTATATTATAAATTACGAGTTAATTTTAGTTTAATTTTAAACGTGGTTTACATTGTTGATACTATAGCCACTATATATATATATATATATATAGGCTTGATATATCCATTGCGGGACACCCTGTATAAGCAAGTTATACAGAGAAGAAGTTAAGAACTATAACTTCGATTCAGAACGGAAACAAGCTTTCATTTGAAATGAAAGTGAAATTTACTAGATGAAAGTTTTCCACTAAATGGCTTGTGTCGACGACGAATGAAATAGCAAGGCTTCTGATGGCGATCACTCGGAATGAGAAAAGGAAATCGTAATATTGTTCTGAACAACTCATATCCGAATTTATTTACTTTGTAAGCAGTAGGTTACCTAGAAAATCGTTGCCATATGAGAGCAGCCGCTACATAGCATCTAATGATATCACTGTCAGTTAGCTTAGTTTGCTAAGCAAGTCCAATAGCGATGAGCTTCTTAGAAAGTTTACGTGGCGGCATTGAAATCATTGGACATTCAATTTTCAATGGCGGTGAGCAGTTTGACCGGCAAGGTGTGTTTATAATGAATATGTATAATGAAACAATCGTTAAATAGCGAACCCACATGACCCGTACGTGTTTTCGGGTTAAAATGGGCCTGGTTTATTCGCTGTAAAATCAGTTACAATACAGTTAATCTAATCTATATTTATATAGATGTAGAGCCCTAGGTTTATATTTTATAAGGTTTTATGGGGAGTTTCTTGACCCGCTACTACGCCAAATACGAATGTGTGTTTGTTTGTCTTTCGTTCATGCAGAAATAGAGCAACAACTTGAGTTCCTTTTACCGGATATACATATATTTTTTAATTAAACATTTAGCACATGTGAAGCCGCGTGGCACACCTAGGATAAACAAACCTATAAAGATAATATAAGAAATTCAAGAAAGCGAAGTCGAAGCGAAAACTTTCCTCCATACGATTTTATTAGCATTTAGATTGTTGCTCATCAAAATGTGTGTAAGCAAGGAATCGTGCGAAACAAGATGCAAAAATTCCACACCAGGTCGGCAAATTTTTTCACTTCTTGCGTAATAAAATGAAACGTTATTTGAATTCTTTCAAATTACATTAATGAAAAGCTATCCGATCTGCTACGTTGTGGACCTTCGATGATTACTATTGAGCCCGTAACACATTAATAAATTTCCAGCACCTTAAAATAGAATGTGGTAAAGAAACAATAGAAAATAACTACACACTTATCCATATCGTAGACCAAAAACGAATTTACGTAGAGAAGATCGATCTTTGAACCAAGTACAAATAAGTTTTTTTTTTTACGAAAATCGTTATGTTGACTTACAAAACTAATACGCTTAAATTTTTTATCATAACCATACTCCAAATATAAAGTGGGTGGGAATTATTTTAATTGACCTGTAGGTATTCGATTTCGATTATAATCCTGAAAAGGCTGGTGAGCGGGGTGCAGCACTAATTTTGAATAACGATGGTACAGCCTCTACAGATAAGTGTAAATCATCTAAGTAATGACTTAATTGTTCAGCATTCCTCTATTTGTTGTGCACTGAATGTTACTCATCTTCTAACTACGTTATTCATTTTAAACTATTAGACCATGAAATGTAGAGCCTACTCAATTAACCATTATTAACTTTTATCCGTTTTATTGTTTCTGAATTATAGATTAAATGACATTATGTTTTTTCTATTATACATATTATCTAAAATAATAATAAAAAAAACACACTGCAATACTTTAACATGCTTAAAAGTTGTAATTTTTTTACTTATTCTTGCTCTATGTTACTTTCTGTGGCCAAAAGTTAAAATATAATTACATACGGTCTGTCTTAAAATTTTCATAGACCTATTTACGGTTTACGGACATAGTAGAAACAGTTTTTTTATGCATTATATTTCATTTTGATCAAATTAATTGTATACCTATGCGATGTAAAAATTAAGTTCAATCTTCACAAAAGACAATTTTCTGATTCTATGCTAAATAATAACAACTGATAAATAAATCAAGTGCTAATTTTATGAAAATGTTTTTTTTACGTTTGAATATACTATAAATAAATGAACTAAAATAAATTTATGGAAAGTAAATTTATTCAGACGAAACTCATCTTCAAAACTTGACCCCCAAAAACATTCTATAATCAGACTCATAAAATTTAATATTGCTAAAAACCGCAGTCGAACATGGCCGCCCGCGCATTCGTATCCGCACCGTACTTATTACTCAACCGGTTCACTCATTGAAAACAGTGCTGTTATCACATTCGATGACACGAGTTATAAATTAATAATAATACACTTTTTTATCGTTCGTAAGTCTAGTTTATATTACGTACCTTATTTAGTTTAAAACATGTTCCAAATATTAATAAATAAACACTGAATTCTATTTCACGAAATACACACACGCACCAGTGATCTCGCGGCGAGACTGGCGTACGCCCCCTCCTCTTCAGCTCTCGATCCCACACCTCGGCATCGGATCGACATTCAACGCCCCTTCCCCTCCGTTATCGGTTAGCAGCGTGCGCAAGAGATTAGCGATGTCAGTACAACACATTAGTAAATCACCAGTTTTTTTATCAAATTGGTTTTGATATCACTACTAATTAACATTATATTGATGCCTTTAGAATACCAATGCACACCGCAAACACTAAACTGGATAGAATTCATCTTAAATTTAAATATATATTTTTTTAATCCAATTGTAAAATTAAATCTATATTGTAGTTTTAGTGTCTCAACATTTTCAGTTTAAATAAATTGACAACCAAACTGTAATCGCTTCCGCTTATCACAGCGTCTCACACGATATGCGCCTGCGCAAGTTCGCTCTCGGTCGAGCGCTGAGACAAAAGTAGTGACCATTCCAAATCGCCCTTACTTTCTATTCCACTCAGCAAATGTCGCAATCCGCCTGCTGTACTTGCAACCATTTTTTTAAGCTTGTGAATAATTAAATTAATTATAATTAAATAAGCTTCTTTTTTTTTGTGCTTATTAAATTGTTGTTAAGTTGATTAAAGCAAAAACACTATTAGTATTGTGGAGTAATTATGGTGTTTTTGTTTTATAATTTAGAATTCGAATCCTCTTCGTAATTCTTAAAATAAGTAAGTGTCCAGTGTATTTGCTCCTGTTGTGATTATTTAAGGATCGAAGGTTAACTAATGGTCTGAAGGTTATTCTAGCCAGCTCCTACTAGATTACCTAGTTCATACGTAAAAATAAAAAAAATGTATATTTCAGTATAGTTCATTTATTAATGAAACTTAAACTATCAGTCGGTTACAGTATAGTTTTTAACAATATCTATATAAGCTCGGCTGTGTATAAATCATTTAATATGTAAATACTACATACTACAAATAAGCATAGTACAACATAATGGTACAGGTTTTCAAGTCAGTGAGTCGTATAGTCTGTGGCACTCGTTGGTCCATCTCCGATATAACGTTAATCGGAACAACGACAGCATCGCTACAGGGAACCGAGCCGCTCAAAACTCGACTGAACGCAACTTCATTACAAGTGACGTCATTTGGGGCCACGACAAACGACTTGAACTGAACTCATAACTGCAATTGTTATGTTACTGTTGTCCGGTTACCAGTTTCTGTAGTATAGTATGTCGTAAGTGCAACATTAAATTTAATACAATGGCACATGCTATTCACCAACAGTTTTAAAATAGAATTAGGAAAAATAATAAAAGTAACTAAATTTAATAAAAAAGTAGAAAAAGTTAGTAAATAAATGTCTTAAATGAATTAAGTGTTTAATATGTTAAGATACGTCAACATGTACCTAGATGAAATTTGATAGTCTCTAATTCGGCTCGAAAGATTAATCGATAAGTTATACTTGGTCAGTTTTAATTCATCTTAATAGGGTTTGGTTTTTTGGTATAATTGTTTATAGATACTATAGATACCTACTGTATTTTACTAAATATATTACATATTTATGTATTCAAGTAAAATCAGTAGATACTTTTTTGCGAAATGATAAATCATACCAAATATGTATCAGATATGTATTCTGTGCACATATTTAGTATTAATTACCTCCTGATTAAAAATAACTTCTTAAAGACACGCTGTTTGTCATTGAAACAGCGTGAATAAGTAAAGTCTATAGATACTATTGTCAGTTCTGTTGAATTCTCAAAAATACAAGTTTAATCTTTCCGCTTTATTATTTGTTTTTTTCTTTTCGCTTTTACGAAATCTACTACCGCAGTCAACGAACACGAGTAGGATTGCTGTCAAAAATAATAGAAAAATATTTCATCTTAAAGTCAAGGTACAACTAAATTACTACTATAAAATGAATGTTAGTAACAAAATAGCACACAGCTTAAAAGCGAATGCCTATATTTCTATAGCTATACCTAATGTTAGAAAAATAGAAAAAAAGATACTTTCTTTAAAAAAGAAAAAAAAACTTAATCTATCATGAACGAGATTATGAACGTAGCTGTCAAAAGAAAATCCAAGTCTTTCCGGATGCGCACATCAGAAGTTTCTTTCTATAAGAAAAACGTAGACGAAGCGTTGTCAATACCTAATAGCTATTAGATCTTCTCCGTTTTGCAAATGCACCTTTTTCTTATTCAGGTATCTTATGCTTTTTTGCCCTTGTAGGCAGACGAGCACACGGCCCACCTGATGGTGAGTGGTTACCGTCGCCCATGGACTTCAGCAATGCCAAGGGCAGAGCCAAGCCGCTGCCTACAAAATTTTGTTCAGAACGCTTCGTCTACTTTGATCTTGTAGACGATCTGCTTAAACAAAGTAAGACTGCTGGGTGGTCGCTGGGCACGAGTCGTTCGCTGGAGTGTGTCCTGCGCATCCCACCATCACACGGCACGATGGTACCGGTGGCGTGGCGTATTGCTGTGAACAAGGACAACATTTATGCCAAAGAAATAATTAAGCAATTTAAATTGTTTTTAAGGCGGTTTAACTGTAAAATAAATAAATGCAAGTATGGAAACGGGAGTGACCTGAAGTCTCACCCCTGAAATGAAACAGCGAGACTCTTAGTTTGGCTCTCGTCGAAATAAATTTTTATACAACCTGATTTACAAGCTATTCTAAGAATTAATAATCTATTGTTCCGATCAACGGTAATAAGCTTTGCTTAGACTGTTATATATGACGCCGTGGGGCGAGGCTAGTCTAAAAAAAGTATCCCAAGTTACTCCTATATCATCAGTAAAATTCTCGTCAAAATCGGTCCAGTCGTTCCAGAGATTAGCCGGGATAGACAGACAGACAAAAATTAATAAAAAAAATATTTTGGTATATGTACTGTGGTATACATACTTACGCATTTAGCAAAAAGTGGTTATAAATTATAGGGCAGGTTTTTTACCAGCCATGACGTCATCCAATATAGAATATCTCATTGTCAATGACTTCTAGATGATGATGAAGAAATCACATAGTGTATTTTATAAAAACAGCATAAATCTGCACCGGGACTAATGTAAGGACAAAGTTGGTAGCAGAATACATATTGGTGGCTGGTGGCATCTGGTAATGGCCCAATCCGGTTTGATCATGAACTCAAAAAAGTATATTTTATAAATACACTAGCGGACCCAACAGACGTTGTCCTGCATATACAAAATGAATGAAATGAATGAATGCATGAATGAATGAATGCATACACGAAAATTCGATCCAGCCGTTTAGTTGCAGTATAGATACATAACCTAGATACCGACTGCAGCGCCATCTGCCGGGCTGATTTGTGAATCTAAACCATCCAGGGTGCCACCCAAACGCATACCAAAAAATTTATTAAAATCGGTTCAGCCGTTTAGGAGGAATTTAGTGCCATACACACGTACAGTAGAATCTATACTAATATTATAAAGAGGAAAGATTTGTTTGTTTGTTTGAATTGAATAGGCTCCGAAACTACTGAACCGATTTGAAAAACTCTTTCACTGTTTGGATGCTGCACTATTCCTGAGTGACATAAGCTATAATCTGTTTTGAAAAAATTTAGGGATCCTTACTAAAACTCTAAAAACGTAACCCAAGGTGTAAAAAAATTACCTAAAATATCCCTTACATCGCATGCCCTGCCAAAACTATTGATGAGAATAAAATAATGTACTACGACTTTGTAGAACACATTATTATTTAAAAAAGTGTCGCGACAACATATGTCTAACTGTTATAGTTATGTGGCAATAAGTGTTCTTTTATTAAAAAAAATTAAACAACGTCAAATATCGTTGAAATTTTTGGTAAGGACCCTAGCGGAGCCGGAGCTGGCCGCTTGTTAGATATATAAAGATAGAAAACTATAAATAACTCACATTCTGACACGCCGCCAATTGATTGACAGTAATATTAGTGGTTCCCAGAACTCGTTCCTCCCTTGTGAAATCGGGCTCACGGTGGAATACTCCTTGAACATAAAACAATTCATGACAATGTATAGTTAAATTCTCTTTAAGCCTTTTCATGGATCAGTTAGGGTAAAACACCCAGTAGTCAGCCTTTTAGTGGGATTCTTAACTTGATTCACCTGTATTTTTAAAAATAAAAGAATTTAAATGAAAAAAAATTTTTTTACAGAAAGTTCGTTTATTATTTTTACTAAAGAGATACAATTTTTTTTTAAATTTTGTTAGAATTATATAAAAAATCAATATTAAACAAAATATGGCACTTTTTACCGGTAGTCAGCCTCATTTCTCCACAAGTCAGCCATGTCTTACCCTATAGTCAGCCTTTTACTTATTATTGCACGTTGGACATACAAATTCTTTATTATAGACATTTTCATAGTCTTCACCTGCAAATATAGTACATTTTAAATGATACCACGCAGGACAATTGTCACAACCAATGTTTTTTAAGTCGTTTATATCTGTGTCATTAGTCAATTCCTCTTCACACGAATCGCATCTTATTCTGTTTACTGTGCATGTCGTACTTTTCTTTTTACTTATACTTTTTTGGACATCAAAAACTTTTGAGCTTTCCTTTTTTGTAATTATTCTTCCTTCTTTTGTCTTTCTTCTTCAGTCTTTTTTTAGCTTTCATTCTTTTCTGCTTTTTAATCAATATTTCGTTCTTTTTCTGTTCATGAACATGCTTCGACGCAGTTTATATCTTCTTGCGTATTAAATTCAGATGCTCCTGTTTCCTGGACTTCATGATTTTGTTGCAAGACTTCAAAGTCTGTTATGAATTCGAAGTCATTTAAGGGTACTTCACTTTCGGTTAAATTAATGAAATTATTGTCCAATGTGCAATCCCCTATAATTGGCAAACTAACATGAAGAATTTCAACTGATTCTGACGCTATTTTTAGAATCAATAGAACTTGAGGTATCGATTTGGATGGCCTGGCTAATTGAATTTACTGTAGAATTTAGGCTTTCAGTACCGACCATATTCTTTGCTCTGTTTAAAACATCGATAGCGGTTTTGAATCTTTTAACTCCGGATTTCGTTTAAGAAATGAGTTCCATTTCTTCCCTGGCCTATTATTTACATATGGGTTAGGTCTGTTTTCTTGGGAAATAATATTATGGACGGTATAAAGGATCATCACATTTAAAGGGAAGCCACATTCTGCCAAAGCAATGCACCAGTCTTTCAAGGCAGTTTCTTCGTCTTTGGTAAGTACTAAGTCTGGTACCATTTTACGAGGTGCTTCTGGGGCTCTTAAATGCAGGCGATCTTGTAGAGTGGTACGCTAAAAACTCGACTAGCTTCTCTAATCTTCATCCCGTTTCTGATCGCGGCCATAGCCTATGACAACTGCTCTTCTTTGTACTGGTCGTTTCGACATTATGAAACTCTAGAATATAAGATTTTAACTTGATCCTTATTAAAATGCATTAAAGTTCAATATTACACAATAGAACTAACGGCCGACTATAGGAGTTAATAGTCCATTAGTCAGCCCTCAGCATATATTTTACTTTTATACACGGCTGACTACTGGTAAAATAATATTTTGGTCATCTAAGAGTTATATTCAATCCAAAGCAAATAACAAGGACTATTCTCTGTGTTAATTTCGACGAATTCTAAGAAAATCATAAAAAACCAGTAGTCAGCCCCTTGCTGCTGACTTCTGGATCAACCTTAACAAATCGTAACCCAGAAGTCGGCCCCCTAAATTGAAACGAAATAAACATATAAAATGCCTCTAATGCTTAATGTTATCGTAGAAAAAACATTATACAACAACGTAACATAAAAATCTACCAGCAATTACAACAAATTCATAGAAAAACTTACCAAAACCTCGAACACGTTTCCTTACGAAAAAAATAGCAAAAGTGACACATCCTGTCCTTTCGTTGGCGGCAGTGGAAATAAACGAGTACAGAGGATCAACCTGTCACGCTATCGGTTCTTAGATGTGCACAGTAACCAACAAGAGAACATAGATTTGATTAAACGTTATTTCAATGGTGTAAGTCCATTTCAACACTATTTATACCAAAATAAAACCTATAAAGGCTGAGTACTGGTGCGGGGCTGACTTCTGGGGGTTTTACCCTACTAAATTACAATAAAATTTGTCTAAATATAGGTTTCATATCTATGTCGAATTATTACGATGACATCACTGAAAGGTGCTTAAATTTCGTTTAGTGTTTTTGATGTTACAAACTCAAAGCAACATGCCTTCTTCGCCTCGGAGATAATGCTCATTTAAATCGTAAAGGTGTTTTAACGGAAAAATGATGTAGTATGTGACGGGGTCAATACGGACTGTTGTACTATATAGTACAAGAGTTTCTTTGAATTTAAATATGTAACAACTTTGGATTTTAATCCAAAAAAAGTTTTATTATTTCATAAAATGAAAATTCTTCATTAAATCTTATAGAAAAAATTATATTAAATAAATTTCGCTATAATTACGAAAATAAAATTCTGATAAAATGGAAGGCAATTTAAATAGTTAATTGTACTTTGAAGTCGCCGCGGCCTAAAGGCTAACACGTCTGGTATATTCGTATTGAGTGATACAGCTGTGCCGGCGTTCGAATCCCGCGGTCTGATTCCATTTTTTTTAATTTATTTGGCGTATGTTCACGATGGTCTTCCATGATCATGGACTAAAACTTTACCCACCCTGTCTAATAAGGGCACGAGGAGGTGATGCGTTCCGGATTGAAGGGTGGGAAAGTCGTTTTATTATACTCCATGACTTTGGGACATGGCCTTATATCTCAAGTTGAGTAGCGGCAAGCACGCAGTGATGATTATAGATTCCGGCAACCACTCAACACCAAAGGGTCGTCAGCTCCTTCACCCATTTAATAAATTAGAATAGTTGAATAAGTACCATCAGGACGTGGCACCAAATCGGGGCTGAAGTCAGGAAAATCCTCTCGTGACTTAAATGCCTTAATGCATATTGCCGTTGAAGCTATTGCAACTGCCACAGCTATCCCAGCGGCTACTGCCTCTAGCCAGCGCGTCCAAGTCGGGATAGGAGGGTCGTCCGATACTGTAAAAATTTTAAGTTTAAAAAAAATAATATATTTAAGCGGAATTTAAGGATGACGTCTCCAGCGTAACATCGTTGTAATAAAATAGTCACTTTGCAATAATTTTCATAAAATTCACGTTTAATATTGAGTTCAGTGTGCTTAGTGTGAGTTTTCTAACGTTCTCGATAGCGTAAAAGTTAGCTCATATTTTTATGGAATGGGATCGTTTGCCTACGTTTGCCATACATAAAAAATTGCGTTAACTTTTACGCTATCGAGAACGTTAAAAAACTCGCATCAAGCACACTGATGGTAATGCATGAGCTTGGATACTAAATAAAATGAAATAATGATAACACCTACACACAAGTATGATATCTCATTAAAAGTGTGAAGAATGAAACTTTATAATATATGTAAATGATGGACAATAGATGAGAAAAAGCGAAAATCATTACTTTTTTTAGCATTTAAAACAGATATAGTAAGCACGTAACGGGATTTTTTTAAGTTATAAATGTTTCACTACACTTGTAATGTTTATTTCAGCCCCAAGGCGATATGAAGATCACGCGACCACTCAAGAGTGAAACGATTGAAGTGAATATGGCTATTATATTGTTGGCTACAATCGATCATAATCTATGAGCTACTAACGAATTCGTATGAGAATTTTTTTTTTTGTAATTGCCTTAAATAGTCACACCCGTAGCTATTCTGGGGTATATGCGTTTATAAGCATGATGCTAATAATGGGAGCTCAAAGAGAGCAATGAAATTAAAATACAATTCTTCTTCTTATTATCAGCCCACAGACGTCCACCGCTGGACATAGACCTCCTCTCCAAGCCTTGCCACAAAGACCGGTCCTGCGCTGCTTGCATCCAAATATAATTCCAGAGTTTTTTATTTTTTATTGCGTAGATGGGTGGACGAACTCACAGCCCACCTGGTGTTAAGTGGTTACTGGAGCCCATAGACATCTACAACGTAAATGCGCCACCCGCATTGAGATATAACTTCTAAGGTCTCAAGTATAGTTGCAACGGCTGCCCCACCCTTCAAACCGAAACGCATTACTGCTTCACGGCAGAAATAGGCGGGGTGGTGGTACTTACCCGCGCGGATTCACAAGAAGTCCTGCCACCGGTAGTTAAAAAGAAAAGTATAGCCGAACGGTTTTGTATTTGCCTATTTATACATAAGTTTGAACCGGATTCAAATATTTTTCGGATTTGAATAGTTAGAGACGCGATTTTCAATTTCACGGTAATGCCAAAGAGACAGCCGAAAACTAAATTCACATTGCAATTGATTTAAAAGTGTTTTTTTTTTGCACAGTACGACCAATGAGCGTGGAGATCAGGTTAAATAACAACTTGAACTTCGGAGCCGGGCAGCCGCGTGTGGTGGATTGCAACTTTAAAACAAAGGTTACCTGATGAAGTCAAAGGCTTCATGCTCTGCAGACGCATGATCCTCGATTGGCTGCGACCTCGGACGTTGCTCGCGTATACAAACGCGGTCAAATTTCGTTCGTCTTCGATATCGGTAACGTGGAAGTGGCCAGCTGAGTCCGTAACGTTGTGTAACAGTTTACCGCTTTCATCCACGATCTCTAGGTGCACCGTTTGAGGCCGACCACCGTTCCAAGCTAAGTATGAAATTTATTGGTTATATTAATTTTTGTTTAGTAATTTTCTATGTTTGTGTATGTGAGTAAAGCTGTTGTTTATTTTTTTACGAGGAGCACTGCTGCTTGAGATACAGGTTTTTATCACCTAGTTCAAGCACAGATGCAAATTATGATTGTGTTTCTAATTCTATGTTAACAATAAAAAAATCGATACTCGATTATTTTTAGCGGCAGTTAACTAAATATGTGTCACTTTAGGTGTAAGTAAGGTAAATTTAGATAGTAAATAGATTCGTAAAATATGTTCAAACTTTATTTATGTGGATTTTCTTAATTAATAATTTAAGAAAACGGTCGACCCATTCATCGCATATGGTATTCAGAGATACATGTATCCGAATGTCCTTGACCTACTTCAAATATACAATTGAGGTCTTCCCTAGAAACATTTGTCCCTAACTCTTTTAGATCAAATCTCACAATTCCTACCTGAAAACTCTGTATCACTTCAATTAAGACCTAAATATTATGTTTCAAGGTATAACTAGTCAGGTCATAAGTATTGTCACACAGTAAAAACTTTCCTTTTAGAATGCTGGCCATAAAAAAGTTTATTGAATTCGAATTTCGAATTGTTCATGAAAATAAAAATGTATACTTTTAGAATTTTACTCATTTTTAAATATGGAGTGGACGCTTAAAGAAGACCGTGTTGCAGTTATTGCGTTGCATCGTTGCGGTTACGCGCCAATTCAAATTTTTAACATACTGAAAAATTTGAATATAACCAAAAGATTCGTTTATCGTACCATCAAACGATACAATGAAGACTCTAGTGTAGATGACAGGTCAAGAAGTGGTCGCCCTCGGTCTGTTAGGACTCCAGCAGTGATAAAAGCTGTGAAGGCGCGAATTCAAAGAAATCCCAAACGTAAGCAGAAACTGTTGGCCCTTCAGATGGGGTTAAGCAGAACCACGGTGAAAAGGGTGTTAAATGAAGACTTAGGGCTTCGGGCATATCGAAGAAAAACAGGACATCGTTTGAATGCTCGTCTAATGGACCTGAGACTGAAGAGATGCCGCGCTTTGTTGAAGCGGTACGCGGGAAAAAAATATCGGGAAATTCTTTTTTCGGATGAAAAATTTTTTACCGTAGAAGAGAGCTACAACAAACAAAATGATAAGGTGTACGCACACAGTAGTGAAGAAGCGAGCAACCGTATTCCGCGTGTCCAACGAGGTCATTTTCCATCCTCGCTCATGGTATGGTTGGGAGTTTCTTATTGGGGCTTAACAGAGGTACATTTTTGTGAGAAAGGTGTAAAAACGAATGCAGTTGTGTATCAAAATACAGTCCTGACGAACCTTGTGGAACCTGTTTCTCATACCATGTTCAATAACAGGCACTGGGTATTCCAACAAGATTCGGCGCCAGCTCATAGAGCGAAGAGCACACAAGACTGGCTGGCGGCGCGTGAAATCGACTTCATCCGGCACGAAGACTGGCCCTCCTCCAGTCCAGATTTGAATCCGTTAGATTACAAGATATGGCAACACTTGGAGGAAAAGGCGTGCTCAAAGCCTCATCCCAATTTGGAGTCACTCAAGACATCCTTGATTAAGGCAGCCGCCGATATTGACATGGACCTCGTTCGTGCTGCGATAGACGACTGGCCGCGCAGATTGAAGGCCTGTATTCAAAATCACGGAGGTCATTTTGAATAAACTTTAGTGTCATAAGAATCTATGTTTTGTTAAGTTCATTTTGGTATATGAATGGTTACATAATGAATAAACTTGTTTCAATTATTTTACATTAAACATGTGACAGAATTTATGACCTGACTAGGTATTTACGTCAATAACATTGAATTTTGAATGTATAAATACGCCTTAAATACAATTGAATTGAAGCGAAGATGTAATACGTTTTACTACGAACCTTTTTTACATTGGACCCTTAGGACATTAGGGTAAGATCGAATGACTACACACTCGGGTGAGATAGGTGCGCCCCCTGGTGTAATGGTGTACGTGCAGGGTCGCTTCTGCTCCCCGAAAGAATTGGTGGCCCGGCAGACGAGCTGGCCAAGATCTTCCTCGCGTGGTTTCCATGTCAGCGATGACATGTAGCGGTGGTTGTGTCCACTAACCTTCTGTGGATCCAAACATTTATGCGCATCGTTAATAAAACTAATAAGCACCCGAATACTTCTTCTTCAAGGGAATCTACCAGACAAAGGCACCCCTCCCGATATTTTGGATTTGGAAACTGTCACAACAACCATTTCCCATTTGTTCATAGATGATGAGACTTAACGTTACCGAAGATGATAATCGGTAGTAATTCCGAGTAAGCTTACGTGGAAAAAGTCATTTTATCGGATTCAATTCAATTGTAAAGCAGAATACCAATTAGTGTTAACCTCGATTTGCAATAGCCGTAGTGCTAATTCATTTCTGTTTCTGCAAGTCCTGATAATCGCTAATGGTTTCACATTAAACTGTTTTGGGGCGCTGTTCCAACTGCATACAAGTTTGAGTTAACTTTTACGCGATCGAGAACGTTAAAAAACTCGCTTTTTTTTCCTACTTAAGCTGATGGCCTACAGAGACCATGTCAGCGTCACCGTTCTAATAGGTAAGCTCACGGGGCTCAAAGAGAAAATTCTAACTAGCTGCTACGTTTTACCAGCAAACACGCTCAAAATATACGATAGCACGCTGTTTATATTATTTTTATAAAGCTTTAATCTATAAAATGCAACAAACCTTGACACTAGTGTATAATGTTTTGGAATCAGCAAAGGTCCAACTGAATTGCATCGGTTCGGGTGATGCTTCCACCACGCACGTCACTGTTTCGGCCTCTCCGTGTACAGCCCCGACATCGTCTTGCCGATTTGACAAACAGAATGGACGAACTAAAATTCATAATTTCATAAATCATAATCGGTACGGTATATTGTAAGCTCTCCCCGAGGAAGTAGATTCGGATTTGTCAAGACGGGTGCCGATTCACATTCACGATCAGATTTTTTTCGCTTCAATGACCACATAATATCATTTCGGACGTGAATTTGTCCATCTATCAATGCAAAAAGTAAATAAAATAAGCATAAAAGATAACGATGTGGAAAGGACCAAGAAGAAAAAGAAGAAGAGAGCGCTCTAGAAAAAGGTGGATAGTAGATATAAAAGCGATAGCAGGAAGTGATTGGAAAAAGAAAGCCATGGACAAAGTGGTTTGGAAGAAGCTGGAGGAGGCCGAGAAGGGGTTCCGATCAATAGTATAGAAGAAAGTAATGATAACGAGTAAAGAAAATGAAAGAAATTTTACCCTAGTATATATTAAATCGCATGTAATAACGATATTATTATGGATTGGAAATAAACGGGCTTTATTATTATTATTAAAACTCAAAAACGCTGAGTTAGGCTCAGGTTTTTTCGCAAAAAGTCATGGCCCTGAGAATCCGCAGCGAACGCATATCACAATTACTGTTCATTTTATACGATGTAAAACTGCGTAGAGAAACAAGTTGTTGCAAAACATGTTCTAATAGTACTGCATTATTAGAATATTGGGAATTGCTGATCCTTATTTAAAAAAAAAAGCCAAAAACCACTCACATCCAACATTGAGCTTGACTTTGTTCTCAAACAAATCGTTAGGTAGATGCGAATTGTGTGCTCTACAAGTTAAGTCGTGTTTGTTGTCGCGCAGCGATGGAGCTAGTGTCAAAGATGACACTGTATAGTTGCCGTCGTGAAGTTCCTGAAGGAAATGCTTAAAATATAAATACCCACCGAACGCAGTAAAAGTTTCATTCATTCATTTCTTTCATTCTGTAATTATTTAACCATCGATTGTGTAAATTAGCTTTTGAATAAATCGGGGTTAACCCCCTGCCCTTTTTTGTGTTCTGTATCGATGTATTTATAGAGCAATACGGCACTTGAACCACGATATACATACAATGAAGTTATGTTATTATTATTTTTCAAATATTCAACTTTTATCAATTACCTTATGAACACTCGGCCTCAGCATGTTATCCCCGAGGTGCCAAGTTATAGACGGTGGTGGCACGCAGCCAACCACGACACAATCCACCACACGCGGCTGTCCAGCTTCGAAGTTCAAGTTGTTATTTAACCTGATCTCCACGCGCATTGGTGGTACTGCGCAAAAAAAAAAAACACTTTTAATTCTATTGCAATGTGAATTTAGTTTTTGGCTGTCTCTTTGGCATTACCGTGAAATTGAAAATCGCATCTCTAACTATTTAAATCCGAATAATATTTGAAGATGGTTCAAACCTATGTAACTATAAGTAGGCAAAGACAAAACAATTCGGCTATACGTTTCTTTGTCAACCACCGGTGGTAGGACCTCTTGTGAGTCCGCACGGGTAGGTACCACGACCCCGCCTATTTCTGCCGTGAAGCAGTAATGTGTTTCAGATTGAAGAGCGGGGCAGCCGTTGAACTATACTGAGACCTTAGAACGTATGTCGCAAGGTGGGTGGCGCATTTACACTGTACATGTCTATGGGCTCCGGCAACCACTTAACACTAAGTGGGCTGTGAGCTCGTCCACCCATATGGGCTATAAAAAATATCTTTTTTGGGGTCAACAGGTCACAAACGAAATGAAAGAGATAATGTATTACATAAAAAAATGATTACGGTCGAAAGTCGACTGTTGCGCGAACATTAGTACCTAAAGTTAAATTATACACACAGGGTACGCATAGGATACGCACCGCCAAGTGGTTCAAACCCCATCTAGCAACCTCTTAAAATTAAATTAACGGTCTGAATTCTTATGATATCATTCTGATAATATAATTTGTAATAAATGTCATCACAGTAAATTATTTTTTAGAAATTTACTAAAATATTATCCGAACCGAATTGAGTTCTATCTCTTTACATTTGCTTTGATATGGTTCTAAGACTTGTCATATAGATCTAGGCAGTAAAATACTTCATATACTAAATACATCGTGTTTTGATTGATCATAGAAATTGAAGGAGATACTTAGGTGCTTTTAGGCTCTTTAAGCCCCGGTTACCTTCCCCGTTAAACTCATCAACGAAGGGTTCGACGAGCGAATTAACCGGAATTGATGTAACATAGGTACGGCATACTTAGTTTCTCGCCGGATCTTCTCAGTAGGACGCGATTCCGATCCTATGATAGATTCCGCGAGGCACTGCTCTTGCTAGGGCTAGTGCTTCTTCCTCCTTCTTCTCCCCTTCTTCCTCTCAGGAGGCGCCGGAGTCCGACATAACGACGGTCCCTTACCCCCCTCGACCAGGTATCGGTAAATGGACTTCCCAGAGTTAAAAAAAAATCTCAGATTTAGTTCGCGAGAAACACGAATAGCCCCTTGGACTACAAGTGAATAGGTAGGAAAAAAGGGATTCCTATTTTCTAGGTCTCCAATTCCAATTAATACTTACGGAACATCTTCACAACAAAGCTGGCAGTTAACGGATCCGTGACGTCAGCGTTTTGCGCAAGACACTCGTAGTGAGCATCGAGTTCATTGCGTGTCGCATTTACAACACGTATTTCTGCAACCAGCAGACCAGAACGGGCAGCTTCTGCGCGTTTTATCACAGCGCCATTGCGACGCCAATACACTAGAGTTTTTGGTTGATCTGCAAACAATGTATGATTGTCATTAGTCGACGTGAGCTAAATTCTAGATTTATAGATAGGCTAGGGTCAAGGTTTTTCATCCGTTTGTCTCGAATTCAAATTCAAATTCAAAATCATTTATTTCAACTTGGATGTCATCAAAAACACACTTGTTGAATGTCAAAATGTAAAAGAAAATGTTAACTCTACCACCGGTTCCAAAAAAGCCACAGTCCTGAGAAGAACCGGCGAAACAAACTCAGCGGGCTTTTTTTTTTTTTTGTATTTTCTCAACAATTTTTTTTTTTTTTTTTTAAACAAGAAAACATATTTACAGTATACAAAAAAACAAGTCAAAAAAATACAATTCAAATAAATAATAATAATAATGAAAAATGAAAAGGCCAGGAGCGAACGCCTCATTCCCACGTAGTGCCATCTAGTAAAAAATCCTTAACTTTATAATATGCCTTGTTGCACAAACGTTCCTTGACAGTTTTCTTAAATCTATGAACAGGTAGTAGTTGAACGTTTTGTGGGATCTTGTTGAAAAGTTGTACACCCAGCCCCCTGAAAGAGTTGCTTATTTTCTTAATTCGAGCCGCCGGCAACGCAAGCCTATGTTTGTTCCTAGTGTTCACATTATGCAAATCGCAGACTCTGGGGAATTCTACAATGTTTTTACGCACGTACAATAAATTTTCAAAAATGTATTGGGACGCTAAAGTTAGAATTTTGATTTCCTTAAACTTGTCCCTCAAGGATTCCCTCGGGTGCATATTATAAATAGCACGAATAGCCCTCTTCTGCAGGATGAAAATCGTTTCGACATCGGCAGCATTGCCCCATAGCAAAATGCCATAGGACATAACACTATGAAAATAACTGAAATAAACTAGACGTGCCGTATCTTCATCAGTATACGTTCGTATTTTTTTTACCGCAAACGCTGCAGAACTAAGTCTATTCGCTAACTTGCATATGTGAGGACCCCACTGCAGCCTGGAATCAACTGTTATACCAAGAAAAACTGTCGAATCAACAAGCTCCAGTGTCTCTCCACTTACAATGATATTAGTGTCTACTTGTCTAACATTAGGTGTGGTAAATTTTATACATTTTGTTTTTTTGTTATTTAATAACAGATTATTAACACTAAACCAATGTACCACGCGCGAGATAGCATCATTCACATCGTCATAATCTTCCAATTGTCGTTTAATTTTAAACAATAAGGATGTATCATCAGCGAATAATACGACCTCGTGACGGGTTTCAATAAACTTTGGTAAATCATTGATATACACAAGAAATAAGAAGGGACCCAATATGGAACCCTGAGGAACACCCATATTAAGTAAGACACCGGAAGATCTCTTTCCTTTAACGTCTACCTTTTGGATTCTTCCGGATTCTTTCGCTTTTAAGTATTAGCGTCATTGAGAATTTTCAAAATAAATTACCATCAGCGACTTTACAAACGAAGGTCAGGTTGGCTCCCAAGCTAATGGGCCCGACGTAGCCAAGTTTGATCAGCTCGTTATTTTCATTGTATATCTTCGGAGCTCCAGGCGAATCTAAGACAAAATAAAAAAAAAAATTAGCAATTCACAGAACACCTATTTTATTTAAGAAAAATGAATTATCCATTGATTTTAAAACACGTAAACTGTGTCATATGTCGATAAATACTTCTAATGCTACATCCAACATTTTATTAACAATCAGGTTGACAATACATATATGTACGTACTTAACAGTCATCACATTTTAACTTAAGAATTAAGGACACTCTTCGTGTTATTAGCAAACGGACACAAGATTCATTTATTGCAATATATATACATGAAAATGAATTGCTGTTCGTTAGTCTCGCTAAAACTCGAGAGCGGCTGGACCGATTTGGCTAATTTTGGTCTTGAATTATTTGTGGAAGTCCAGAGAAGGTTTAAAAGGTAGATAAATATGAAAATGCTCGGAATTAAATAAAAATAACAATTTTGTTTTCCCTTTGATGTGTCCCCCGTCGGACGGATTCCTTTTGTTTGTTATATTATGTCTATTTTATACAAAAGTTTAGGTATTTTATTTATCGATTGAGGCACCACGAAGTCTGCCGGGTCAGCTAGTTAACAATAAAATGCTATAAGTTTAAAAGTAACTAGAAATAAAAAGCCACAATATCATTTTTTTTAAAAACATAGACATAAACATAAACAAAACGGTTTCATCCCAAAAAAAGTATATAGAAATTTGCAGAAGAAAAATATCGTCTTGTAAATTTTTACTTTAAGAGAAGAAAGCACGTTGATACAGTTTCCACACACGTTTTCCTAAAAACAGCGAATATCGCTTGAAAAGTTTACATTATGAAGCTCTTACACTTAAAAGTGAACCGAATTTAGGCCTTGTCACTTGTTATATACAGGATGTATCGGTAAGGGAAACATAAGCCGGCAGCTGTCTTCGCGTTATATAGCTGTCTGATGAAATATGAAGTAACTGTAGCACTAGCTGTTATAGAATAGAATAAATCTGGGAAAAACCTGGATCGCGCTAAGGACTTGTACTAGATAAACTTATTATTACAAGTTCCGCATTAAATTAGGACCGTCGATCTAACCAGCAATCAAATCCTACATAAGTACTAATTATGTATTTATGATACTTTTGTACGACTAATGTTTTCCGATTAGTTGAACTAGTAGATTCTTACAATTTCTTCTAAATAACAATACACCCTGTATAAGGAATCTTTAAAAGTACACTTTATGGTTTTTTTTGTTGGTTTTTTTTGTTGTGAACTCACCAACAAGTCTTAGGTCAACAACGTGGTCGACTGATGGCGAAGCCTGGTAGTGGACACGGCAGCGGTACGTCCCGGCGTCCTCGTCGCTCACGTGCTTCAGGAGGAGTGCTGTGTCGTCATGACACGAACCAGATTCACAAGTGGTACCGTACACGCGGTCCGACGCGAAGGCCCTGAGGAACACACGCATAAATAGACTTGGCGCTACCGCGTAGGTCTGTGACAGATAGCCCGCGCTGGTAAGCATCACAATCACGAGTAGTCGTCGTGGCCTAACGGATAAGACGTCCGGTGCATTCGTGTTGAAGCGATGCACCGGTGTTCGAATCCAGCAGGCGGGTACCAATTTTTCTAATGAAATACGTACTCAACCAATGTTCACGATTGACTTCCACGGTAAAGGAATAAGATCGTGTAATAAAAATGAAACCCGCAAAATTACAATTTGCGTAATTACTGGTGGTAGGACCTCTTGTGAGTCCACGCGGGTGGGTACCACCACCCTGCCTATTTCTGCCGTGAAGTAGTAATGCGTTTCAGTTTGAAGGGTGGGGCAGCCTTTGTAACTATACTTGAGACCTTAGAACTTGTATCTCAAGGTGGGTGGCGCATATACGTTGTGGATGTCTATGGGCTCCAGTAACCACTTAACACCAGGTAGGCTGTGAGCTCGTCCACCCATGTGTAGCATGGCGTAAAGCTAACACGCGTTCTGACAAATTACTCAATAATACGTTACTTTATAGCTTTTTATCGTGTAAGCGGGTGACAGATTTCACAGCTGTTGTATAAAGGAGCTCATAGACATCAGGGCGTGAGTGACGATGTACATTGAGACATGAGGTCTAAATCTCAATCGCATTATATTACGGCATATCTTAAGGTATGAGTCGTAACGGGTGTCCCACACCACATCGTGTATTCCGGTTTACAAGTTGTGAAGATTCAAATGAAGGCTATAAAACAATAATTGACGACAGATAACGGCTTCTCGATAGTCTTGGTGTTACTGATGTCGATGGTGACTTTATCTACTCACAATAAGGTATAGACCAAAAGTATTAAAACGCTAATTCATGTACGTAGTATCCATCAAAGTCAAATCCGTCTATTACTTTATTACTGTGGTATCTTCATTCGGTTTCTCAGTTGATTTTATTTATTTATTTATTTTATTTATTTCATTTACTTCAGATTTTGCATCCATATTATATTCATTAACATTTCATATAGTATAGCAGAATTAAATAAAAAAAATAACTTCAATCTCGGAATAAAACAAAAGCAATAATAATAATAATATAACAAAAAATCAATAATAATAAAACAAAAACTCAAAATTAATAATACATTATATATATATATATTATTGCTTAGATGGGTCGACGAGCTCACAGCCCACCTGGTGTTAAGTGGTTACTGGAGCCCATAGACATCCACAACGTAAATGCGCCACCCACCTTGAGATACAAGTTCTAAGGTCTCAAGTATAGTTACAACGGCTGCCCCACCCTTCAAACCGAAATGCATTACTGCTTCACGGCAGAAACAGGCAGGGTGGTGGTACCCACCCGCGCGGACTCACAAGAGGTCCTACCACCAGTAAAAATTATATATACACTAGTTATTAATACATAAAGACGATGTGCCGGTTTTTTTTTGATATTCTAAACGTAATTTGGTCTGTCGGAAAAATATAGTATACTAACCTATTATCAGTTTCATTATTCGGGAAGCGATACAAGACGTCTCTCTCGTTCTTCACCCACAAAACGTAAGAATCGGGCCCGTCAAGGAACACTTTACCCTGGCCGCAAGGGAGACGAGCATTCCTACCACGTACGGCTCGAAGAACCACAACTTCTGCATAAAAAACAGTGTGTTATTCATTGAACACACACCGGGTGAGGTCATTCATTTATCTATTTAAGCAATAAAAATAAATAATAGTTTAAAAAAACTAACAAATTACGCTTTTATAGACAATTCAAGTATAAACTAGAAAATAAATTTTAATAAATTAGAATTAAAAATAGTGTCAGAAAAAATGTTTTTATTGTAAAAAAAGCACCCCACGCTTTTTTTTTTTTTTGTTGGATTTTCTATAAAAGCGTATTTTGTTAGTTTTTTAATTAATATTTATTTTTCATTTTTAGTTGAATTTAAAAATTTTCGATTTTTTTTATTTTTTCAATTTTTTTATTTAATATTGAATCAGTCCTTAATAAGTATACTAAATTTCGAGTTAATCCGACGTTATGAAGGTGGTCAAAATCAAGATTCCGTTACAAACATACATACGTCTGAAGCTAATAAAAGCGTATTAATAAATCTACTGGACATTTTGTGTTAAGTCTATGAAGGACAGTCACTCTCCGTTGTCATCACCGTCATTAGACGTCCGCCGCTGTCTTTACGCTGATTTTAACTGCCACTGATAGTTAGAAATTATCTTACGAACCCTGTCATGACTATTGCGATCGAAACAAAGAATAGAAGAAAAATTATAACGTTTACGATTTCATCTAGCATTTTGTGTTGTCATTATGTTATTGTCAATGTTTCAAATAGTTTACGGCATAGATAATACACATTAATGCTTTACGGTTTTCGAACAACTGAAACGACGGAAATACTTAAAAGAATATATAATACTATAATAATAATAATAATATTATAAAGAGGAAAGATTTGTTTGTTTGTTTGTATTGGATAGGCTCCGAAACTACTGAACCGATTTGAAAAATTCTTTCACTGTTTGGAAGCTACACTACTCCCGAGTGACATAAGCTAAAATTTTTTTAAAAAAAATTAGGGTTCCGTACTAAAACTCCAATAATGTGAAAACTATTGATGATAGAACAAAATAATGTAAACTACGACTTTGTAGAACACATTATTATTTACAAAAAGTGTCGCGACAGCATGTCTAACTAATTATAGCTATGCCGTAAATAAGTGTTATTTTATTTAAAAAAATAAAACACCGTCAAATATCGTTGAAATTTTTGTTAAAGACCCGAGCGGAGCCGGAGCCGGCCGCTAGTATAATATAAGATCATAAAAGAAGCGCAAAAAAAGTAGGTTTAATTACATAAAAATACAATTAGGACCAATCGAAATTTATCTTACCCGTGTCTGCGGCCGTTGAAGCAGCAGCAATCACGAAATACCATAATCCGAACGACAGCATTTTTATGCCTGAAATAAATAAAAATTACAAGTTTGTTACAATAAACGTTAATGGTGTAACGTTGAAGGGCGGGGCAGCCGTTGTAACTATACTGAGACCTTAAAACTTATATGTCAAGGTGGGTGGCGCATTTACGTTGTGGATGTCTATGGGCTCCAGTAACCACTTAACAGCAGGTGGGCTGTGAGCTTGTCCACCCAACTAAGCAATAAAAAAAATACATGTGAGTCCGCGTAATTTCCAAGGATAAGCATACCACAGATTTGGAATCGCTTCACCAAATGAACGTAACTATTCTAAGTAACGATCATCTCAAACTTATTCAGAGCACTCCACATGGTATATTTCGTACACAACACCGGGAATCAAAGTTCCTCCGTGAATCCAAATGATCCATGAGAATGACACTACAACAAAAATCCGAACGGCCATTTTCACTAGCTTTTATTTTTGTATCCTACCTAAGCCGATAGCCTTGAGAGGCTATTTCAGCGTAACTATAACTAGTAGGTGAGCTCACGGGGCTCAAACCTGACGACTTTGCTAACACGAACCCTTGCAAGAGCCGTGCTTCGCAGAATCTACCACCGGATCGGAAACGCGACCCACTGAGAAGATCCGGCGAGAAACTCAGTGGGCTGTGTCTGTGGGCTAATTTACTCGACGAGCCCTTCGTAGCAAGCGACGGGTTCAACGAGAACGACGACCGCTTTAGTAGCTATTATTTGGGCATACAAACGAAAGTCCTTAGATAGAAAAAAAAATAGCAAAAAAAATAGTTCTTCAGTTTTCGCGTGTTGTAAGCATAATTGAAACTTCTTTAAATTTATCAGTCCGCCCCGATGGATATCGGAATCTTCCCTATTTCTGCGGGGAAGCACTCTTGCATTCGGGTTTGAGGGGAGAAACAGCTGTTGCACAATTTAATTGTATATTATTATTTTTTTGCTTAGACGTGTGGACGAGCTCACAGCCCACCTGGTGTTAAGTGGTTACTGAAGCCCATATACATCTACAACGTAAATGCGCCACACACCTTGAGATATAAGTTCTAAGGTCTCAGTATAGTCATAATGGCTGCCCCACCCTTCAAACCGAAACGCATTACTGCTTCACGGCAGAAATAAGCGGGGTGGTGGTACCTACCCGTGCGGACTCACAAGAGGTCCTACCACCAGTAAGTCTTCGACCTCATGTCTCGAGATATGTCACGGGATTCAATTGTCGTAGTCAATAGCTGAACACTAGACGGACGAGCTGTGAGATCGTTCATTTATGCAAAAAAAAATCAATGGAAACCTAAGTACCTAAATGAAATCAACAGCCGAGCTATAAATCTATATGTTTAATTTTAAACTTAACCTGACGTAAATATTCATATGAATTGAAAGAATAAGATTTTTAGCTTATTTTTAAAGTTCCACGATTAAGAAATTACAAAAAAAAAAACTTGTGTTTTCTCGCAATTTGCAATAAAACCATGTAGTAACACCCGTGACTCACGGATAAAAACGTACGTACAATCCTAAATTAAAAGCGCCACCTTAATTTGGTACCCCGCTCGTTAAGGAACTATCGTCTTGCTTTGAAAGCTGAAGGGCACGGGAGGTCAGGTAAGGTTGGAGGGTAGTTTGCATTTGTGCACGCGACGTGACTCACTATGGTCGCCGTAAAATTGTTCGTACGATTTGTTAGCGCTTTTTAATGAATCCCCATAGTTTTTTTATGTCATGCCGCCACGTGACAGAAATTCAACTTAATAAAAAAAATTATTGATTTCATTATCATATCCTTCGCTAAATCGTTTAAATTGTCATGTATTTATTATAAGTCCGACATTTTGTTTCATTTAATATGGTATAAGAGCTCTGTGAATATTATGCTGACCAGAAGAGACAAGTACTCACATTTCTATCTACGCACGAAACTTTGTTGTTTTGTTTTATTATATTATATTTCAATAAATGTATTATGTACCTTTGAAATTTAAGAATTTAAAAAGAATACAATGTTATCGAATTTTTTAGTCAGAATATGGGCGCATGTCTATTTAAATTATTATTTACGATTTCACCAATGCGAGTCCTGATAAACTATACCCTCAATACTTAATTCATTCGACTAAGTACTTGATAAAAATATAAGCAAATAAATAATCTTCTATTTAAGATTATTTTCGCGGTTTCACCGGAGTTAAAATTAATTGTTAAATTTGGCTATATCGTTTCATTGATAAAACTCATCAGTTTACGAGTCTCACTGGTTCGTCCTTTAAGAACAAAACTTCATCGAAATAGACTTAATATTTTTGCGTAGTTTTAGAAATAACTAAAGCATGTCAGTAATTGAAATTAAGTGAGACCGGACAAAACATCTCTAGGTTTTTTTTTAGATTAGACTATTAATAAAAACACGTTTTTTTGTTTAGTATTTCCCAAGTCAGACCTCGATACGCATATTTGTTGTAACTACCGCGTGCCGCTTTATATGTTGACGGTATTTTGCGAAAAATATTCCTCCGAGGATGTAAAAGCAGACGTATGAAGTTTAAGAAGAAGTGAAGAATAAGCAGACGCGCAGAGCACGAACAATTAATCCATTAAACCTTCGTCTTAATTTGAGACTCACGCTATTATATCATTGAAAAGTTTTGTAAACTATCACAAGTGTTTCATGTTAAATACAAGTTAAATAATAATAAAAAAATAACTTAACAAACAACATTTTGTATTACACAAAATTTTATATATAGCCCAAAATTATATGTTAATTAAACAGAACATATAATTACATATATATCGGATCAATTTACAAAACGTAATAATTTATAACATCATTAATGTAAAAATCAATGTTATGAATAAATCTGATTGAAAGAAAATGCAAAGAATAAGAAGCTAGATAAATTTTTGCTAATCGTATTACGAAAATCTTGAAAGATGAACAGAATTCTATTTAATATTTCCGAAAAGTCTAAGTTCGCCATGCACCACAAAACTAAAGAATATTAACATTGATAATTCCACTCACCACCTTTCTCTGAAGCTGTCCGCAGGTTAAATGATATTATTTTTGCTAAAACTATTCTAAATAATGTGATCGGAGCACACGTGTGGGTATTGGAGGCGGTAAGTGCTGAATAAGCTTTTCACGTACACTACGCCAGGTAGAACAGGGCGGACGGTGTTAGCGTGGATACGATCAGGAAAATGTATAAACTTTTATGAAGAGGTAACTGTCGATTTTAGTCGGTGAATCTTGAGCTACGGGAAATGGAATAAAAAATATATATACAAAACACTTATTTTTTAATGTATGTAAAATAAAAGCCTTTAATAACACTAAATGATAATGGGAAAACTGTTTTTCTTTTTGTTTTCTTTCAATATTTATTAAATATAATACATTAGATTTATGTATCCGATAATGTAATTAATGCTAGTATGAGTTCATTAGCTTCTTTCATTTATGTTTCAAAATTTCATGGTTCGCCTCAATCAAAAAAATAAATTAATTGTTTCAAAATATCCCTTCGGGCTAAGTTTCAGCCTAAGTTTTTTATTGCCTTTATAGGCTCAGGAGCATACGGCCCACCTGATGGTGAGTGGTTACCGTCGCCCATGGACTTCAGCAATGCCAGGAGCAGAGCCAAGCCGCTACCGTTAAGTATTCTCCACAAGCCTGGTTTGAAGAAGGACATGTCATAGCGCTCGGGAAACACCGTGGAGGGGAGCTCATTCCAAAGCTGGATGGTACGTGGCAAAAAAGATCTCTGGAAACGCACTGTGGATGAACGCAGTGGCTCCAGGTAGTATAGATGAACTCTACTCCGGTGGCGGGCGGTGCGATGGTAAAAACGACATGTTCTGTAAACAAATTAATAAAATACTGCCACAGTGAAGATGAAAGGATGAAAGGTAAAAGGTATATCCACATTTCATAACGTAACATATTATAATGTGAGGGTGTTTGTTTACTAAACTCAAAAAAACTACGACGAATGAATTGATACCTAACTTTGTCGGTGATAAAACTCACTTTCTCTTGGCAAAGTCATTCAAATACTTCACTGATACACGGCCAGTCGTGTGATATGACACATCCAGTCCTTATGGCCTTTGGTCGTGTATAAGTTTAATATATGAAGTGGTTCAACATAAATGGGATGTCGTTGTTGGGGAGGTCCCCTAGAAGTGCATATCGCAAGTTCATTAAAACTCTTTTCATTAAACGTGCATTCGTGCAATTACCATTAGAGCTCTGTTGAAAGTCGGCGATGGTGGAAAGGGATAAACTGATTGCTAGGGTCTTTTCTGTGCTCAATACTAACAATAATATGTATATGTTTTATTGATGTTTGATCAATATTATACTTCTACCGAACTATTAACTGATCGAAGCCATTATTATCATCATTCGTCCATATTTGCCATTCGGCTCTAAATAAAAATGTTGGTATCCACAAATATGCGTCACTGAATCAATGATTAAGTAGATCTTTATTGCGTCGTAACTATACTAAGGCAAGATGCGACCCCAAATTATTTTAATTTAGGTACAGATTAACGCTGAAACATGCTGGAGTCATGGTCCAGACGGCTGGCTGATCCTTCGGCCGGTCGTAGGACCGTCGAGGCGATTCGCCCGGTCCTTGTGGATTGGGTGAATCGTGACAGAGGACGCCTCACTTTCCGGCTCACGCAGGTGCTCACTGGGCATGGTTGCTTCGGTGAGTTCCTGCACCGGATCAGAGCCGAGCCGACGGCAGAGTGCCACCATTGTGATTGCGACTTGGACACGGCAGAGCATACGCTCGTCGCCTGCCCCGCATGGGAGGGGTGGCGCCGTGTCCTCGTCGCAAAAAGAGGAAACGACTTGTCGTTGCCGAGTGTTGTGGCATCGATGCTCGGCGACGACGAGTCGTGGAAGGCGATGCTCGACTTCTGCGAGTGCACCATCTCGCAGAAGGAGGCGGCGGGGCGCGTGAGAGACGCACAATCCCGCCGCCGTCGAGCGGGGGCCAGGGAGGCGGATCTCGCCCACACTGCCGCTCTAAGTGGTTTGGGTCGCCCCTCACATGTCGTCGGTCTGGGGACCGGCGAGGGGGGCCTAAGAAGACGACGTGCAAGCTGCTCTGCACGCGTTTTACGCAAGAGCATCCGGGTGATGGAAGGCCGGCTATCCTCGACCCACGCTGGTTCTGACCCAGCGGGGTATTCCGTAGGATAGCTCACTCTAACCGGCGCCATCTAGGCGGGCTTCGGATAGCCTGCCGACCGAGAGGGCTGGTGGTCGTGGCGCCGACGACCGCCAGTCCGGCGTCCCGAGGGGGAGGGTGATGGGAGAGATGTGCTCCGCACTAAACGCTTCACTTTGCCTTTCCTTTTCATGAGTTCTATGCTTTGTAGGCAGACGAGCATACGGCCCACCTGATGGTAAGTGGTCACCGTCGCTCATGGACGTCAGCAATGCCAGGGGCAGAGCCAAGCCGCTGCCTAAAAATCTGTCTCATGCGAGGTTTGGACGTTGGTTGTTGAGCGACAGGAGGTTTTAGTCAGTTCGACTCTGACATGCTCCGCCCTTTATCCCCAGTGGAGGGCGGAAGTCCGGCGATTTACTCCTGATCAAAAAAAAAAAAAAACGCTGAAACATTAAGCGATGAAAACATTGGACAGTGCATATATAGGTTCAAAGAAAAAAGAAACAAAATACATTTTACAATCGGTACCAAAATATTAAATATGCTTAAAAAACTGGTCAAGTACTAAAAACATTGCTACTAAATGGGCCGGCAGCTCTGCATTGTACAGCTTGGAGGCTGCTGCGTTGGTTATCAGTTAGTGCCGTGTGTAATGAATTCGAGGGCAGAGCTGCATGGTAAAGACGCATCCGTGCAATGCACTAGGCAAACGTGTAAACATTCGAGCTCACGGGACTCAAACTGGAGTGATGCTAACACTGACCCTAGCAAGAGCAGTGCTTCGCCGAATCAACCACCGGATTGGAAAACCCACTGAGAAGATCCGGCGAGAAACTCAGTGGGTTGTGTCTATGGGTTAATTCGCTCGTCGAGCCCTTCGTCGCAAGCGGCGGGTTCGACGAGGACGGTGACCGGTGCTTGTGGTACCTAAAAGCACCGTTAATGGATCGGGTGGATCCGTAATGACGTGTTTTGGGCGACGTCGACTGTTTACCATTCGGTCTACAGGATCGGGTATATAATTTCCAGCGGCCACGACAAGAGGGTTCTCATGTCGTACTGCCTTCTCAATGTGGCGCAATGATGCCGACTGTAGACACTTACTGACCGTGGTCATGACGGTCAAACAGTTTGCTGATGGGTAAAGAATAGAATATTCATAGACATTTTCCAGTCGCTGGAGGATATTTTCTAAACCAATACTGTTTAGCTGTAGTACTTTTTTCGTATATACCTAGCTACCGACCCAGTCAAGTTTTACGATGCGTTGAATGGACTCTTATTAGTTAGCGGAACAACGTAAATCAGCCGTTTATTTAAACTGAAGTCCAATTCAATATTCTGCAGAGTTTAGGCTCGAGTATTCAGTCTTAGCATGTTCAAATCAACGTGTTGATGCATCGTATTATACCGTAAACTTACAAGCTAGAAATTTCGTAGTGTTCAATCTAATAATCACAATAAAAGGGTAGATTGAAATTAGAGGCAGAGTTATTGCGCATAAAATTACATAAATTGTTCGCTTGATACTTGTATTCCGAAGCCAATGATCAAATGCTATACAATATTTATCTGCTATCAGATTCGGTGTAGACATTCATGAGTTTTAAATGAAATTGAGTTGAACCAACGCAATTTCTCAAAACAAAATTCACTGAATCAAATAATTGATCTGACAATAAATTACCACAATCAAATTATATAAGTAATGCTTTACACGCCTTCATTTGATGGACAAAAATGCAGTCGTTATAAAATATTTTATACGAGCAACAAAAAGTGCTTGATTTGCATCAGGTGTGTTGCTCAATAGTCAAATATAATTTCATAGAAATGGTAAAGTATTAATATCAGTGCGGCGTCTCTTTACAAGGAGCTTGGATCTAATTTCGCTACGATCATTTGAAAACCCGCATTCTTTCCACGTACTGATTTCGAAATAATATTAACATTAAAACTTTTACCTTTGCATAACCGATTCTATTTTATATCCAGTTCTGCTGTAGTTTACACAAATTGGGTCATTGTACTTTTATGTTTCTACAATCACTCTGTCTTTATTGTTAAGGTCTAAATTTGTTTGAAGTATTTTTGGTATTCGTTTCGGGGTTGATTAGTAAGGGGTTGTGCAGTGAGTCATAACGTCTGATTCACTCAAATCAACTAATGGGAAACGATATTAGAAGGATAAGCCTATTTAATTCTAGCCGACCTGACAAATAATATTCTATTCTATTCTAGGCTATTCCGAATATGTAATTGAATTTCATAAATAGTCGAACCGCTTCCTAGCGGAAACTCCTGTCTCGAGATACCATTAATGACGAACATCATTGCATTTTAAAACGCCTTTGTTAACCTCAATTTAGTCTTTGCAACATAATGTTTCAATGAACATACCTAATATTACCTAATAATACATATTAATTCGTCAGATTAATATGAATTTTTGACACGTAACCAGGACCGATGATAAAAAAAAACATTACTTTACTATCAAGACAAATAAAAAATAATGTTTATCTATTTATTTACGTTTAATTGTTCATATTGTAATTTTTTTTCAGTAAATTTGTAGGCGATAACATCTGGCGGCTCGCCTGATGTAAAGCGGATCCCAGAGTGTTGCTTCTTCGCATACTTTGATATCCACGATGGCCATTTTCCAAATAGTAAAATTGAAGTCGTCGTGGCCTATGGATAAGACGGCCGGTGCATTCGTATCTAGCAATGCACCGGTGTTTGAATCCCGTAGGCGGGTACCTATTTTTCTAATCAAATACGTACTTAACAAATGTTCACGATTGACCTCCACAGTGAAGGAATAACATCCTGTAATAAAAATCAAACCCGAAAAATTATAATTTGAGTAATTATTAGTGATGGGACCTGTGAG